TTAAATAATGCCAAAATGGGGCATCTTCAATGCCTCACTGCTCCTTAATGAGCATGGGCACCCCCCTTTTTTATTTCAAAATGATAAATATTCAGTGGACAAAGTTTGAACAAAAATCTATTGTCACTTTTATTTCAGAGGAATTACCTTAAAAAAACTCGCGTCACCTTGTCATCCAGTCACAAGTAAAACTAAAACCAATACTGACTCGCTCGCACACGTTTTCCCGCGCTTTGCTTCATGTATTTGCTTACCTGGAGCTTTGATTGGTTCATTGGATTGTTTGTGTCCTTTGTGATTGGCCAGAGTGATTACTTTGGTTTGGTTTCATGACACTCAGTTGAAACTGGCGTTTTATCACGTCTGGCCAATCATAACCAGAGCAAATTCAGAACCAAAAGAAAAACGTGCGGCCCGTGCTAAGCGCGGGAAAACGCGGGTAAACCAAATTACGGTTGTCTTGTTTTTGCTCCTGATTTTTTTCAAACAGAAAACATCTTTTCTTTGATTAGTTAGAGAAGGAAAGATACGCCTACTAGGCAAGCTACCGTCCGTCCTTTTCCAATTCTCTCATTTAAGTCAGGCCTTTTAGGTTTTCGAAAGCATGTAGTGAGGATAATGGCTTCTTTCACTAAAGCAAAGTAACATTTCTTTTAATGTTTCATGACTGAAAGTCGAGATATTTTCTTTGTTGTTTTCTTCCTTTCCTGCAAGAAATTCCGAATGTGCCGGTGACTGTCTTTCAAGACGGCAGAGTGAGGATAGAGTTGAATTTCAACGCTGAAACATCAAATGTCCTTATAGTGAATGCACGAGCGCTGGGAGAGGAGCACTTAGACTTAACAGTCATGTTTGACATGGGGGATGTGAGTATAATGCTTTGGACTGTTTGACAAGAACATATGGCACGTCATGTCATTTTGGCCAATACCCCGCAACTGTCTAGATTTTTCAAGGAGCCCGGACGAAATAATTCAAGTTAATTTTTTTTTTCGCTGGTACTAAATTGCCTTTAAATCTTTATTGAGACTGGTAAATGATACCTGCCTAACGTCGAAAATCACGAAAGTAATTTTAACAAGAAGGAAACAGGGGTGGTTTAGATTGTGGAAGACTGAGACATATTGTTTTCGGGTAGTTGGAACATCGAGGCAAGCGTTGTTAAAAATGGTCACAGGCGTTCTTTCGCTTTTTTTCCACGTACCCCTCCCCCTCATTTTCCCCTCGCTGTTTTTGCGCAACTAACCGAACGCTGGAACAAGCTAGATGGACGGTGAAAGCTTTCATCTAAACATTTTCAGCATACGTCATCCGTGACATACTTTAATATCCAATCAAATATAGCTCGCGTTGTCACGTGGATTGCCTTGTGGGCTTTACATCACCATGTGCGTCATTTACATATCAACATTTCCATGAAAACTGCGAGTTACTTTCCTTGGTGAATGAATGAATGAATGAATAAATGAATGAATGAATGGATGGATGGATGGATGGATGGATGGATGATTGATTGATTGATTGATTGATTGATTGATTGATTGATTGATTGATTGAATGAATGACTGAATGAATGAATGACAACTTTATTTAAGTCTCAGTCTTAATAGCTGAGCACAAATGCTCTACTAACTGGGGAGACTAAAATAGCGGATTTTGACTAAGATCGTGTTCTTTTGGGATCGACCGTTTCAACCGCAACTTGTTTGGGTTGATACGGTTGACGTTTCTCAATAGAACATTTTTCCAACCGTTTTCGGTTGAAACGCGGTAACTCCTGCGAATAGAAAACACAGCCAGTGCTTTTTCAACCGTTTCAACCTGGTTTGAGGTCGAAAAAGTTGCTCAACCAAACCAAACGAAAGCGGTTTTTCCCCAATAGAACAAGATAAAACCCAGCCAATCAATCAACAAACGAACCAACCAGAAATGACTGATACCAATAGAACACGACCTAAGGCCAGCACATTCCTCGAGTGAAGCCGCTGTGTGCAGATACAGTCATAAGTAAGTGTTCTGTGTCATCCTCAGGTTGTCAGTGGGTGCTCGATTGAGCGAGGTGACATGAGCGGGAAAAAATGCGGACCATCAGAAGCCACATTGAAAGTGAAAGACCTTCAACGACTTACGGTAAAGTATTTTGGAACGTAGTTTGCTCATTCGGGTGAAAATCTAATCCGTGCATATTTTTTACCCTGACTCGCTCCCAGTCTTCCCTCTTGTCTTTTTGGGGACGTGTGCGCGAGAGGTTCCTTCCCTTCGATTATATCGCGCGTGTCCCCTGAAATACGATACACGCATCAACTTTTTGAGACACGCATTCGGTTGACCTGCACCACTTTTAATCCTCTGTTTTGATTCCTTCTTGTTAATCTGCATCTCTTTTCGTTGGACCACAGGCATTGTTTGTGTTCTTGATCTGTTGTCTCGTTTGTCCAAGAACCTTGTAAACGGTGCACCCCCCCCCCCCGCCACCCCCCACCATACATCGCCCTGCTGACGAAACGTTATATGGACATCGATTTCTCCGACGATATTCGAAAACTTCTGAATATACCCGAACACAGTTCAAAGTACACTTAGAGATGGACCTAAGGGGTGCGGGAGTTTGACAATCTTTCAGGCAAGAATCCCTTAAGCTTTGCTTGGTTCGCTTTACATGATTTTTCTTTTCACTTTCTCTTCCTGCAAGAATATTCCTTTTGGGGAATGCCTAACTCTCTATCAAAATTGTAATGGTCCATCTCTTTGATCTTTTGACTAATTAAGGCCGGAGATTTCTGGTAAATACCCGAGGGATTACGAAGATGCTGCCGGAAATTTTATAGTCTTAATTAGACTCCCACTCAAATTCTTCACTTAATTGTCAACTACAGTTTACCTTTACCAATGTTCCCCTAAACCTTTAATACTTCCCCTCCTTGCTGTGTTGTTATTTTCATTTTTATCGTTTTCTCTCTTTAGGAACCGTTAGTCTTTCAGCTGAAATTCATGTACACACTGAACTCTGATAGGCAACAGAAGTTGGTTAGTTACAGAATGGAAGAAAAACCTCTTTATGCCAAGCTGGTAACGCACTGGTGAAAGATCGCATGGAATGACGTTGAACAAAATAAATACGGAATTGCTTCTTGTACTTTTATTTATTAAGGAAATTGAACTCCAGCCGAATAGTAATTATTCTAATTGCCTCCATACAGCTTGATAATGTATTATACTGTCTTATATTGTAAAGGGAATTGAGGGGTTTAAAATCACTTCAACACTGTAAATATATAGGATAAATAAGGAACCAAAAAATACGGTGCGTGATATATATCTGTTAGGCTTGGTTCACACTAGTGACATAACGATGTATAATGACATAACGACGAAGTAGGTTATGTCGCAGTGTGAACATGGACAAAAGTGTAAGGAAAAGATCAGTTTTGTTTTCTTATGTTGCTATGTTGCTATTATGTCATGTCAGGATGTTCACACTGCAAACGTAACAACATAACGTCCTTCTTATGTGGTTATGTTTATGTCTTTATGTCGCTAGTGTGAACCAGGCCTTACTGACCGAGTTTGAGCTCTGCACCGTAAGTTAGGACCAAGTTTTTTCCCTTTAGATTTGTGGACCGCACAGCGTTTGATTTATAGGCCAAGCGCAAAGCACGAGGGCCATAAATCAAAGAGGAAAAACATAAGGGAGAAAAAGATGGGGAAAAGACGAATTCGAAATGACGATAAGTCGTTGGCACATGACGTTGATACATGTCCTCAAAATTTTAACAAACAAGGACCGTTTTACATGTTTGTTTGCCATGAACTTGGCCATAAATCAGGAGACATTTTGTCGACAAAGCAGCTTCAAATTTTAGTGGGTCGTAAGGTAGAATACGGCCCGCTAAATTGAGCAATCACGGTGCCCGTAGTAACAGAGATATAATTAAGAGACGTATGACGTCACAACTTTGCATTTCTTCTGCGAATTAAAATGAACTTTGAATGTCTTTTAGAAGTGTTTCTGTTTATTTACAAAGTTTGTTTGTTTACTGATTTAACGGCCACAATGTAAACTAGTGGGTCGCCAGTGATTGCTTGTACCCTATTTTTTAGACAGTCATATACACTACACCCTTTTTTCACAAGAACGCGAAATTTCCAATTTCAAGATGGATGAATGAATGAATACCTTTATTTAAGTGTCAAACTAAAATAGGAGTAAATAACCACTAAATGGGGACACTATAAATAAATAACATTAATAAAACTATTTACAATTGATAATGTATCAGTCAATTCCGGCAGTGCCCATCCCNGTTAGCATTTTTTTCAAAAAAATGGGCAAATTCCCCGGGGTGGGGACATAAGCTGTCTAACTGTCCCAGGGTGGGAACGAAGAAAGAGGGCAAATGCCCCGCCCCCGGGATCGTCGCCTTCCCACACCTCCGCAGTTTTTTAATTAATCAGTGAATAACACGGTCAACTGTTCAGTATTTTAACGCAACGGTAAGACTTCAAGGACAACAGTACGTGTTAGTTGATTCTGATTATATTTGTTTCTTTATATTTGTTTT